GGGCAGGGGTCTGTGTGGGGAGGGGTCTGGCTGGGGCAGGGGTCTGTGTGGGGAAGGGTGTGGGGGTCTGTGTAGGGAGGGGTCTGTGGAGAGGGGCTGGCTGGGGCAGGGGTCTGTGTGGGGAGGGGTCTGTGGAGAGGGGCTGGCTGGGGCAGGGGTCTGTGTGGGAAGGGGCTGGCTGGGGGAGGGGCTGGCTGGGGCAGGGGTCTGTGTGGGGAAGGGTGTGGGGGACGGGTCTGTGGGGAAGGTCTGGCTGGGGGAATCCCCTGGGGGCGGGGTTTAGCCATAGGGCGGGGCTAGCTGCCATGGGGGCGGTGCTGACGTGGCGCAGGGGCGCGGCCTGTAGGGCGGAAGCGGCCCCGCGCGCTGGGGGAGGGGTCTTGTAGCTGCGGGGGGAGGGGCTGGGGTGTCTGGGAGGAGCTGGGGGGGGTACCTGGGGGGGAGCTGAGAGGCCCTGGAGGGTGGGGGGTGATTTACAAGGGTGGGGGAAGCTGGAGCTGGGGAGATCTCCCCAGAGGCAGGGGAAGCCCCCCCCAAAGTGGTACAGTTCTGGGGTCCCCCGTCCCCCCCCCCCACAGCTGCAGGGACCCTAGGACCCTAATGCTCGGCAGCCGCCGTGTGCTCCAAAGCTGGGGGGCTGGGATGGGGGCTACGGGGCCGGAAGGTTAGTGGGGGGCTGGGAGCAGGAAGGGGGCATGGGGGTGGACGTGGTGAGGGCTATAACACAGAGGGTTTTAGCTTTGGGGGGGCTGAGGTCCCGGCTCTGCCCCCCCAATGTGGCACTAGGGGGGTCCCAGTCCCATGGGGAGAGGCGGAGGAGAGGGGGCAGCCTAGGGGTCCTGTACTGCAGGGAGTGGGGGGCTCAGCATGGGGGGGTGCTCGCCCCAGGTACCACGCTGCACCCCAGAGCTGGCCGCAGCGTGCTGCCGGGCCTGGTGCCAGGATTCCTGTGGCAGAGAGTTCCCCAGGGCTCGAGGGGCTGAGTCACTAGGAGCGAAGGCCCCCTTTCCTGCCCCCCTCCACTATCCCCCCCCGGCGAGCGCGGCTGGGCCCGGCCAGAAAACAAACCGCCCCTGGGCACAGAGCCGTGACCCCGGACAGCCTGGGGGGGGGGGAAGCTCTGCCCACGGGGCGAGGGAGAAATGAGAGCAGAGGCAGGGAAACCGAGACAGGAGAGGGGGCAGAGCTCCTCGACCCCCCCCCAGCCCTGCCGGTGCCCCTCACTCCCGACCCGCACGCCCCCGCAGCCCCTGCCCCCCCCAGCTCTGCCCTGCCCCTCACTCCCGACCCGCAGCCCCCGCAGCCCTGCCCCCCCCAAGAGGACACGGTTCGGGATGCACAGAGGCAGTTTACATGTTTAATACAAGGGGGGCGGGGAAACAATATAATTCCTGGGCCTACCCCCTCCCCCAAAAGAATTAATCCAACCACCGCGAACGGACTTGCGGAGGGGGAAGGGGGCAGCATGCACAAACACAACACACCACACACACAGGCCACAACTTGTGCAGGGGGACCCCAAAGCTGGGGACCAGGTGTGGGGGATTGCTGTGAAGCCCCCCACCCCGGTTGAGGGCTCCGGACCAGACGCCTGCAGGAACTGTCTCTTCAGAGTCACATCTAGGCACAGCCCCCCATCCCCGCATGTCTCCCCTCCACCACCCGGGTACAGAACCCAGGAGTCCTGGCTCCCCCCGCAGCCCCACATCTGGCCCCTCAATCTTCTGGCTTGGGGGGGAGCCCCATACCCCACGGCCCCCTCCAGTAGCAGCTGTATGGGGTAGGGGGGCCAGGGCCAGCACCCGTTTTGGTGTGTCCAGGAAGGGGGGGGGTTACAATCAACCAGATTGTCCGTGGGGGAGCAGGGCCCGAGAGGGCGATGCACCCCCCAGGGTGGGGGCCTTCATGGCTGGGGTCCCCCCGCCCTTACCCACACCCAGAGACCCTGGGGGGCACAGGTCCCGCCTTTGTGGTGCTTGGGGCCCAGCTGGCCGGCTTCTGGGGGAGTTCCCCCCCCCCCCAGAATGGGAGCTGATTTCCCATAATCCTCTGCGACTTGTCTCCAGGCTCCATTTCCCATCATGCCCTGCAGCGCCACCCTTTCTCCCATCTCCACAAATCACTACAGCCCGATTTTCCCCATGATCCTCTGTGGTTCACCCTGATTTCCCATGATCCTCCCCTCTGCCATTTTCCCATGAGCCCACATGGGTCACCCCACTTTCCCATGATCCTCTGCCACTCCACAATCTTTTGCAGCTCGCCCCAATTTCCCATGATCCTCCACTCCCTGATTTTCCCACAATCCTGTAGGGCTCACCCCAATTTCCCATGATCCTCTGCTCTGCAATTTTCCCATGTTCCAACATGGGTCACCCTAATGTCCCAAGAACCTCTGCAGCTCCGCAGTCGCCCCCCCTGCCCCGGTTTTCCCACAATCCTCTGTGGCTCGCCCCAATTTCCCATGATCCTCCACGCGGTAATTTTCCCATCATCCAACGTGGCTTGCTCCAATTTCCCATGATCCTCCACTCCCTGATTTCCACATGATCCAACGTGGCTTGCCTTAATGTCACATGATCCTCCACAGCACGGCCCATGCCCCCTGGCTTTCCCACAATCCTCTGCAGCTCACCTCACTTTCCCATGATCCTCCGCAGCTTGGCTGCTGCCTCTAATTCCCCCCCCCCGCCATGATCCTCCACGGTAGAGGTGGCCAGGCTGGCAGCTACACTGGGGTCTCCTGCTCCTGCAGGTCAGGGGCCGAGCGCTGGCGGCGCATGCGGGGCGGGGCGGCGTAGGGCGGGCGGGGGCCCGGCTGCGGGCGGTGCTGCGGGTAAGGCTGGTGCTGCTGCGGGTAATAGTTGTGCTTGCGGGACTGGAAGTGCTCCGGCGTGCCTGGGCAGGACGGCTTCGCCCGGCTCCCCCCATCCAGGGAGTTGCGCCGGTGGGAACGCTGGTGGGGCTGCCGGCTGCAGTGTTTGTGCTGGGGGCCGCCGGGGCTGTAGGGCCGGCGGTGCTGGGGCGACCCCGAGGACGGCTCCTGCCCTGGGCTGTCGCCCTCCGGCCCGGGCTCCTCGCCCCCGGCCACCATGAAGGCGGTGTTGGGGCCCCAGGAGTAGCGGTGGTGGGAGCTGCTCTTAAAAGGGAAACGCAGCTTGCAGTCCTGGGGGGGCACGAACTTGCCGGGGGCGTGGGGCTGGCGCCGGAGGCACTTGCTGAGCTGCTGCTGCTGGAGGGTCTGGAGCCGGGCCTGCTCCTGTTTCAGCCAGCGGAGGCGGCCGCGCCGGAAGGCCGGGTCCTGCTCCATCAGCCGGCACACGCGCTCGGAGCTCCGCTCCACCTCCGGCTCCTCCCGGGCACACAGCGAATCCTGGCTCCCCGCCCGGTCCCGGGACCCCGCCTCGTCCGCCAGCCCCGCCTCAAACAGCCGGGAGCTCCAGTCGTACGGCAGGTCCTCATCCGCCCCGTCCTCCTGCTGGCACATGGGGCAGGCGTTAGGGGGCAGGACGCCTGGGTTCCACCTCTGGATTGGGGGGCGGGGCGGGGGTGCTGGGAGCCAGGTTCTCTCCCCGGCTCTAGGAGGGCAGTGGGGGCTGGTGGTTAGAGCAGGGGAGCTGGGAGCCAGGACTCCTGGGTTCTCTCCCCGGCTCTGGGAGGGGAGTGGGGGCTGGTGAGTCGGAGCTGGGAGCCGGGCCCCAAGTCCCTTCCACTACTGGGCGGGGGCTGGGGCCTGTTCCTTGGCATACGGTGTTGCTGCATGGTGTTTGCACAGCACCTGACACAATGCGGGCCCAGACCGGTGCCCCTCACTCCCGCCCCGCAGCCCCTGCTCGTCCGAACGGGTCTGAACCTAGACCCGAGTGGGACGGACGCAGTAGACAGACGTGATGCTTGGGCTCCACCTGCTGGTGAGAAGTGGCAAGTACATGGCAAAGCCGGGACTCCTGGGTTCTCTCCCCAGCTCTGGGAGGGGAGGAGGGGGGCTGGTGGGTTAGAGCAGGGGGGGCTGGGAGCCAGGACTCCTGGGTTCTCTCCCCGGCTCTGGGAGGGGAGTGGGGACTGGTGGTTAGAGCAGGGGCGCTGGGAG